TAACTGGATCACAATATGCCTTTGATCCAGTAAACCCACATGGAAAGAACCAGACAGCTTTAGGTTAACAAAAAACTTTCGGATAACATCAAGATTTGTCCTTCTCAAAATAAATTTACCAACTAAGGTTAAAGCATACGGAGCAGCAAGTAGATCCACAATAGAATCTTCAAAAAGTAGGTTCAAACAGTCTTTAAAGGAAGAGTGAACAAACTTCAATTTCGAAGAAGACGATGAAGAACCAACAAGAGCTTCTTTGAAAGACCATATTTTCCCTTCAAAAGATGAAGGAACCGGGCCAGATGACGATGGGGTCGTCATCTTCCCACATGAAAAAATAGCGAAAAATAACAAAATCAAAACATGATAGAGAACTAGAAGCTAAGAGTAAGAAAACCAAACTGAATTCTCCAAGAAATTCCAGCAAGGAGGGCTAGAGACGCTCGCACAGGAGGAAGCCCTAAATCGCCCAGAAATCGCCTTAGCGCAGAGCAGAGAGACGTTGCGAAAAAGCTTGGGATAGTTTTTTAAAGTGTTATTTAATTAGTTTTAATTATTAATTATATCATTAATATATCATTAATCATATAAATATTCTAATACTAATTAATTATTTAATAATTATTTATAATGTTATATAATAATTATTTTTAGGAAGATTTATATATATACTATTATTTTACATATCTAACACCCAAAATATTAATATTATAGTTATACCACCCAATTACTATGTTTACCTCAAATATATCAATAAGTCTCTCGTAAAGCTCATGACATCTTTCTTCCCGCTGAAATCCCCCCTTCACGCACTACATCTTAACTTTCGAGACCTCCTGGTAAAGTGAAGAAGGCGAGCTCGCATATAGAAGTAAGTTAGAGTTCGCATCTCGGAAGGAAGGTGAGTTTTGTGTTAGGGTCAATAATGTTCCGAGTAAGCAGTTGCGTACTCTTAGCAACCAGTCATCTGAGTTGGTAGGGTTTGTAAAGGGTTACATTTGATCTCAACAACCAACAGTTCACTGAAATCATAGTTACATCCATTTACATAATTTGAATCCTATAATTTATAATTTTACTTTGAAAGATGAAGTTTTTTTTATTTGCCAAAATTAACTATTCGCTACTTTTCCTTCTAATTTTCCAATCAATCCTTTTTTGTTATCATCCATATGAGTTGATAGTGTATGAGGAATAAAATTCTATTGCATTGCTATATGTGCTTCTTGTATTCTAATCATCCAAATTTTGTATTGTTTTGACAGATTTTGTGCAGTTTCAAATGAGTACTACTAATTCATCTGTTGCCAAAATCAGGCACTAACATTCCCAAGTTTACCACCGGTGTCACCTCAAATGTGTCTTGTATGCCTGTCACCAAGGTCCTAATAGTGGAAGGTAATTTTATAGATACATTTATAATCGAAGTGATGATGATTGCAGTTACTTTAAATGGGTAAATGAACAAGAATATCCATCTTATGTCACACATTATGAATTAAAAGGTTTATAAGCAAGTAATTCTAAGAAGCTTGACTTGATTCTCATCATAATCAAAGTTTTTGTTATGATTGTTCTTATTGACATTACAATCCAGCTTTATTTTGACTAGTAATGTTTTGTTGTTGAGGTACATTTGATGTGCTATTTTAGAGGTCGACATATGTTATATTTGCAGTTTGTTTTGTTATTGTCCAAGGTTAATTGTTCAAGCATTTTGTTTGCTTGAGCTTGCTTTTGACATATATTGTAGTGGTATGTTATATCTTCATTGAATTTGTGAAATGAAGAAAACTATGACATTTGTTGGAAAAATTCTGGAGTTTTTTTTTTAAAATTCTTAAGTATGTTGACAGCTAAATGTTGCACTTGTGTACTGTATCTTCATTTCCCCTAAAAAAATCTGAAGCTTAATTATTAAAGTTTGTTCCGATAGCTTCATTATAGATCTTCACTAGTGATATTTAAAAGCTTGCATGCTTTACAAACTTCTATTGCAGATCTTAAAATTGTATCTTTCAAATGTGCTTAACTCATGCTATTGTATGTTTCAAATATACGATTGTTGTCTCTGTATTGCAGATCTTCAGTGAGAATAACAAAATGGAAAACAAAATAAAATGTGATCATTTCTTCGAATACCATAGCAGCAGTCAAGCACATTGTTTCGAGTATCTACAAAAAAATACCATAAATAACGATTACTTGATATGAGAACAAATTCATATAGACTTTTGATGCTTAAAAGATGGGCTCAAGATATGAAGACCAGAGAACAATTTCAGAATACTATTCCTTTTGCAGTTCAACAATTGAAGAAATAAGAAATGTGATATCTTTTAAGAAACAACAAAAAAAGTGACAAAAAAAATTTGACCTTTCACATCTCCAAAAATTTCCTAAAGTTCAATTAAGTTATAAACCTTCAACATATGAATATTCATATTCACCACCCTTAATAAGTCATATGTAGTCTATCTACTTGGCAACTTCGATCATTTTGGTTGCCTTACATGTGTTATTATTGTGTCTTCTATGATATTTTGTAATGAGTTATTGCATGTACTTTGAAGATGATCCCAAAGACCACACATGCTGCATTTATGTACTTTCTTATCATTCTCCAAGATAATTAACAATCTTCTTTTTTTTTGGTATCCTCTTGGTCTTGATGTATTTAACACTCCAACTTCCACAACATCGTCAACAACTTGCCATTGATACTTCCCAAGGAACATGGAAATTGCTCCATCGTACACCATTCTGTAGCTAAGGCACTTGTAATACACATTTTAGTGTATGTAGTGTGATGTAGAAATGAAATTCACTCAAAAAATTTAAATGTTACATGCCGACGTAGTAGTAATCATGAACGTACGTAGGCCATAGTGGGTGTTCCTTCATCCTAATGAAAGCCATGGTATGAATGCAAGGAAGTCCATTTAATCGCCATTCATTACATCTACATGTCTTTAATGGAGGGATTCCACCTTAGCCTTGAAAATATTGGATTGGTGCACTAATAGATGTTCTTTTCTAGTTGTAATATCTCTTATGTATTCTTTTGCATGGGGCACTAATTCATGGTGCCATGTCATACTTGTCATCTTTTGTACAACCATTTGGTTTATGAGTTTATCACGAATCATGTCAATTAATCAACCACTAGTTTATTTATAGTGTCCACTATTCATGCATTGAATGATTTTGCGAAGTTATTGATATTGGCAGTATGATATATCCCTAACATGAGCTGACTTCACGACTACTTGTAAGACAATGAGAGAAGGTACTCATGAATATTCAGACTCAAAACACTTAGTTCAACAAGCTTCTCATTATACTTTATGCTAGTGTAGGCATTAGATGCTGCCCAAACCAATCATTGTTGTTTTTGTACATCTTTGAAATAATTTTTTTTTGATATTTTTCCACAAATGACAAATACAAACTCTATATTTAGCTTAAGGATATACTTATCTAATGGCATCTCCCAACCCCTTCACCATGTCCAATATGAAAGCAAGTGGTTCTATGTTTGTACCAATGCTTTCTCCCAAGTTATGAAGGAATCATAACCATGCATGCTTAAATTCAGCCTCAACAATGATAGAGCCTAAAGGGAATAAACAGTTATTACTTGCCTTTATCCTAATCCCAAAATTCTCCGTGATGGCAACTGATCGAAGAGCATGCTTGAAACTTTTTGCATCATGAAAAAGGTGCCAACAACTATATCTGTAAGCATATAGTTGGAACACTCGAAATACCATCATTATGGGTAATAGAACATTCAACCATCTGTTTAGAACTCACAACCTCCCTAAGATTAGAATTTGATTCATTTCAATTTACTTCTTGTACTATAATAACTATTTTGGCACACAAATTATCATTAGATACTTTTACCAACTCAGTTACGTCACATTTAGAATTGATATCTTTGTATTCCTTCGAAGATGTACCATATATGTAATAATACATATTATATGGATGCTCCTTAAGTCATGAACATATTCTAGCAATCTCTCCTCTAAGCTTGAAAATATTGAGATGTTACTCAAATTTCAATTTTTTGTTTGCCACCATCATATCTCTTTATATATTTGTTGTTGGTTTGAATCCAATCCTACAAATTTAAATGCATTTAAAATATACTCTTTTTGCTCTCTCCATAAATTATTTTCCATTTGGCATCATAAGCCCGCGATATCAACGATAAATATGTCATTTAAAAATTTATAAAAAGTATTTTAAATGGATTATTCATTACTCGCGAAATAGATCGTCTTGGAACACATTAGTAACTGCTTGGAGTAAATGCACGATTTCTTTCAAATATCTGTTTCAAACAATCTTCTTCATTATTGACAAACAACAAACAATTAACTCTTTGATTCAAACAAACACACAGAAGCATCCGGCCTACACAAAACAACAAGGGATCCCAAACAACAATCCCATTTTCTACAGAAAATAATTCCGTCCACCTACCGCATCTTTTGACTCGGCCTTAGTCTTATCACTTGGCCTTAGACTCTCAAGAAAACAATTTCTAATTACCTAATGAAGAACTTATTCATTACCTTGGTAGAAGACAGAGCACGTGGAAGGAAAATGCGAGGTCTATGCGAGGAGGGTGTTCTAGAACAAAGCACGCTTGGAAAACATATGAGAAAAGGAGTTCGCAACAAGATAGATTTCACCATACGAGAAGACGTTTTGAAACACAACTCGAGGGAAGTTAAGACGTGGCGTGCGAAGGGGGATTTCAGTGGGAAAAAGATAGCTTGATGGGAGACAGAGGGGTAAATTTGAGATAAATTTGGCATGTGGGTGATATAACTGTAATATTAATATTTAGGGTGCTAAATATATAAAATAATAATAATATAGTGGTATGTATGTAAATCTCACTCATTTTTATTTGAAATTATATTAATTAATCTACTTATTTTAATTTTAATTACTAATTAGCTAATTAATCTAGGTTTTGCTTTTCATCTTCAACATTTCTTCGTTACTGCTGGTTTTCCTCCTCGCCACCTTCGGCCTCGCATGCTTCGCGTGAAGTAGTGTGTTAAAAGAGTCGCTAAAGAAGCTTCTTCACCTCCTTCGTCGACGTCGGATCGGAAGTCAAGACGGGAGCTCTCTCTCTGCGAAGATTATCCCTTTCGCGCGCTTCTTCGGCCAAATCCCGTAAATCCGCCGAACTTCGGGATTTAGTAAATCCGGGCTTTACGGCAAAAAGAGGGAAACGGATGATCTATTCCACCGTGAGATTTACCGGGCGCTCAAATCCGTTTGGCAGGATTTAGCATAAATCCTGCTAAAATACTGCAGAAATCCTGTTGCCAAACAGCCCCTAATGGGTTTTCGATCAGAGTCAGACCCGATATTGAACTAAGAAATCGAGAATTGAGAAGAGAGAAGAGATGGGGAGAATGGCTGTTGCTGCAATCGTTAGCCTGTGGATTGTTCCCGTCTCCCTAACAGTCAATAGGATCGTTCCAGATCCCTACATGGTAACCCTCTGAATCTTCCTCGCTTCACATCGCTCTCTCATGTCTTCTGGTCACCATGTGTTTGGCTTTATTCCTCTTCCAACCCTCGGTTGCAGGACGAAATATTCCATATACCTCAGGTGCAGCGTTATTGCCGCGGGGACTTCAAAACCTGGGATCCCATGATCACCACTCCACCTGGACTGTGAGTTCAACAAATCCTAGCTATTGGAAATATTTCTGTTTTTGTAACTTGTTTGTATTCTTGCTATCTGTGCACCTTCTTAATCTCATAAATTTGGGCATTTGAGATTCATTTAGTTACTTTGCTGTTCGTTACAGTTCATTGAAATCCATAGTTTATCAAATGCAGAAAGATTTAAAAAAGAGAAATGCTCTATACTCCCATTAAAGTCCATACTATTTCATTTTTCAATTCCATATTTATAGTATGCCATATACAAAGATGATGGCGGATGACCCGCCACGTTTTTTATTATCAGCCTCCTCTTATGCATATCGGAGATGCTAAAATGTGTTTGCTTTGATGGTGTGGGAAGCATTGCTCAGGGAGAAAATTGATGCAATAAATTATGATATCTTACTTTAATTCTGTTATAATGGAGAAATTTTTGTTACATCTTATTATGTTAGAGGATTATATATATATATATATATATATATAAAGAGAAAAAAAACTCTCAATTTCGCGTCAACTTGTAGTGGGATGAAAATACTATAAATTATCCTGGTTGTTCCACACGGTATGGGTTCATCTCAGCCTCCCATACTATAACCTCCTAATGCATCTCAATCATTGGCTTCTAACAAATTATGCTTTATAATGGTCCTTTGTTCTTAGCTTGTATTAAATACTGAGCTTATATATTGCAGGTGATATAAAATGAACACAAGGGTTTACTTCTCTTCTCGTTGCCCTTCTGTCTCTTCTTCTTTATTTTACTATTCTTTTCTTCAACTTCTACATGGTATTTGAGCTGGAAAGTCATATAGCATTTTTGTCTTCTTTCCTACATCCATGAATCCATCCCCTAAGTATTCCATCAATGTTGTTCGTTAAGCGACCAATATGTTCGCTTTTTTTTTGCAACAACCTAGTATTGTTACAGTTGAAATTTCTCTTGTTCACTATAGAAGGCATCATCTCCATTCAACTCAAATTTGAAAATCATCGTACATTTTACGGAGCATAAAAAAACAATATACTTTTGCTCAATCGGAAGCCATTAATGTGATCCAGTTAGACTGCCTTTTGTAAGACTTCAATATTCCGTTTGCTAAAGTTACGCCATTGTACCATGACAACATGTCCATGGTTAACAACTTGATTTTTCATGTTAGGACTGAACACGTTGAAATTGATTGCTAATTTATTCGAGAATGCACGAAATCAAATCGAAATATTGTGCATCACATTACAAGTCAATACCAAATAGCTAATATTTTTACCAAATCTCTTTCTAGTGCTCGCTTAAAGCAACTCAGTGCCAAGTGAAGGATCCCTACCAATCCAACCAATTTGCAGGGGATGATAATACTTTAATGTAAAAGTATCGTATTTGCTACACTATAGTGCATGTTTAACTCAACCTTTTGTACTGTTACCTCCTAATGAATCTAATTCATTCTCTTCTAACAAACTCTGCTTTGTAATGATTTTGTGTTCTTAGTGTGATTAAATATTGAGCTTATGTATTGCGATTGATATGAAATGAATACAAAGTTTTTTTCTCATTTCATGTCCCTTATTCTTCATCTTCTTCTTCTCTATTCTTGTATTCTCTTATAAACTTCCACATTGTATGGGATAAAATTATACTCACACTCATACACAGAGAAGCACACAAATAGAGCAAATGCATAAGAAAGAGAAAAAAAATCACAATTATAACAATTTGAAACATAAAAAGAATCATTTCTCATCTTAATCTATTAATAAATTGTTTTTTGAAGTGCCATTGATATCCATGCTTTTCAATATTCGCTCTCAAGTTGGACCTTGTTTATCAATTAGCTTTGGTTTTTTAAATGGGTTCAAAAAACTTAAGTGGACTTAGAGCCTTAGTAATAGTATTTGTGAGTTTTTATGAGCAAGGAATATGAGTTGGTATTGTTTTTTGAATAAAATGGTTATCAACTGTATTATATTTTGTTCGTTCATGAATCATAGGATTGTTAGTAATACAAATAACAACTTAGTTATCATAGTTTAGAAGTATAGGTTGAGTAATTGTAAAATCAATTTCCTTTAAGGAAGGTCTTAATCCATATCATCGCATTCATAGAGTGTGTAATGGCTTTGTGGATGCTTGATTTGTCTACCTTTATTTGTTGAGTAAAAGCTCAAAATAGTCCCCCGGCTATTAATAAATGTCCAATTTAGATTTAGAGTTTCACGTTACCGCATTTTAGTCCCTTGACTATTAGAAATGGAGCCAATTTGGTCCTTGACCATTTAAATTAAAGAGAGAGCTGGAGAGATTCATTTCTTTGGGGGCATTTAGGTAAAATACTTGCTCATGCTTCCCGCTATAAGCCCTTGACTTGCTCCTGCTATACGCCTTTTATTTAATTCTTTCATAAATAAATTAATTAGATTAGCTGTTTAAGTATTCAATTTATAGCTAGTTAGAGACCTACATTTATATTAAATATTTTAGATTTATGATATAATATATTTAAATTATGGGAGAATATTTAAAATATTATAAGTAAATAATATTTTGTAGTGTAATCTTATATCCACTAGTAATACCTAAAATATCATTCATATTTAACTTTGGTGTTAACTTTAATTTTTATTTTAGGCTTTGAGACTAAATTGGTTCAATTTTTAGTAGTTGAGGGACTAAACTAGGGCGATGTCAAACTCTGGGACTAAATCGAATATTTATCAATAGTTGTAGGATTATTTTGAGCTCTTACTCTTTATTTTTTCCTTATTTTATGTTGCCATATGTATATAATATTCATATGTGGAGGTCCTATCATAAACGGACCAATATGGTCAATGTTAAAAAAAGATTGTACACTTGGTGCCTTTTCGTTTTTATATGGAATTCTTTTCCTTACATTTTCTTGATGTATTTGAGCATACAAAGGACAAACTCCCTATATTCTTGTTTAGGAGTTCGCACTTGTTGATTTGTAATTCCAACAACAAAGTAAATTTTTGATCTAGTGCAAATATGATTGTTTTTTTTTTTCCAATCAAGCGTTGATCTTTGGAGACATCTTTAAATATTATTTCTTGATTTGTAATCTTTTTGAGCTTCGATGGGAGTGTCAACAAGCTTACAACTTAACATGCTAGGTTCTTCAAGAAGGTTGATGACATAATTTCTTTGAGACAAGAATTTTATTTATTTATTTTGCTATGGGCAAATTTGATTCCCAATAAGCATTTGGATTAATCCAGATCTTTAATTAGAAAAATCTTTTGTAGGTAGTTCCTTACTTTAATAATTCTATTTTGATTACTTCTAGTAAGAAGGATGCCATCAACATAAATTTCCATAGGAAAGATGGTCAAAGGACTTAATGTGGATGGAGGTATTATTATAGATGAAAGGTGAGGCTTGAATATCACTACAATGGATGTAAGTCATATGACTAAGCAACTTTAAACTTTGTGTTCACTTTTGTTTGTGATTTCTTTTTTCTTACTTGTAGAATAATTTAAGTTTAAATTGTCCCCAAACTTTCATTTTATATTGCTGTAATGATCAATCCTTCCTCTTTCCTAAAGATGGAATCAGATTTTATCATTTACCTTATGTGGCGCCATATGTGGGAAGGTTAACTAATTCTTGCAAAAAAGATATATGATTGAAGAAGTGAATCATAACACCGGTTCTTACTACGAGACACCAGCTGATGGTGACGTGCCTTGATTTGAGCACTTTATTGTAGAAACCTCTAACACTCGGACTTCTGTTATCTAGGACCAACTAGAGGTCCAATTTGAAGATTTACATTAATAATCAGTTCACTTGACCGACATAATTAGATCTGTCTTCAAGTTCTAGCCTGTTCAAGGTGCTGCTTAGCCTTCTTGTTCGCTTGACAAGGCTAAATGATTTTTTCCTTCTTTGCATTCATGATCTCAATCAAATCCTACCTCTCCGCACTCGCAAGATGTTGACTTCGACCTCTTGTAGGCTTGCAGCTAATCAGGAGGCGACATGTGTCCTAGATTAGCGTGTAGCATTGTATGAGTATTCTGTGTAGACTATGTTTTTATTTTTTTCTTGTATAGCCTTTCCTCTAACCCTCAAAACCTTACAAATAAAGGGTGATGAGGAACAATTTGGGACCTTTTTAGGCCTTTAGATCTTTTTTTCCTTAGACTTTATTTGGATTTTTTCGGTCTCCTCGCTTGTATTTTCTAATTAAGATAATGGAGATTCTGCAAACTTACTTGCATGTCTACTCTCTATACTTTCCATTCTTACTAACAGGTTCTAAACTTTTCAGACATATTTGCTAGTAAAGTCGGGTATCATCCACCGAACAAATTTGGATTCAACAATATCAATCCAAATAATTGAAAATATTCTTGTGACTATTCTTAGAAACTTCGAAGATATTTAAATATTAAAAAATGGAGAAATGTTGTCATCTTTAAGGGGATCTCTTACATTCCTTAAATATGAAGCTTAAAAAAAATTAAAAAAGAATTGAGGCCCTGAACTTACATTTTAAATAGAAATAATATTAATTTCTATTTTTATTTTTTCCATTTTTATTTGTTGTTGCGAATGTCATTTAAATAGGAGGTTGCATTTGATGTCTTATTTTGACAACTTGGTATGGTCTCTATGTTTATTATTAATTTTATTTTAATTTAGTATTTGATTTTGCCAACTCCAAACTAGAATAACGGTTCAACTACTTAACATACAAATATGGAAATGACCTAAATCTTCCCCTTGTTCTCAAGTTGAACTGAATCAGCTGATTTTCTTTGTCAATAGTGGCTGCGTGCATTCCTATATGCATACATGTTTTTTTTATAACAATTTAATGGGAAATTATGTTATGAAGTTTTGATAATCCAAAAAACGGTGCAGGTACTATCTTTCACTTGCCTATGTTGCTTCTTTGTTTCCAGGCATGTGGTTTGCTAAGGGTATCCAGTCACTTCCTGAACTTTGTTCCACTGCATTTCTTCGATCTACTAATGCAGTCATGGCGGTTGTGTGCAGTGTGCTTGTTTATGATTTGCTTATCAGCTTAAGACCTTCGCTTGGTGAAAAGAAGGCAACATTTTATGCAGTTCTGATAGCGCTGTACCCGCTTCACTGGTTCTTTACCTTCCTCTACTATACGGATGTTGCTTCACTAACAGCAGTTCTTGCAATGTATCTTGCTAGTCTGAAGAAACAGTTTTTGATCAGTGCCATGGTAATTAATTTATCTCATAAAAAGTTCTCTTTTTTCCTGCTGGATGCATCACAACAACAACGACAGAAAAAACTAAAGCAATGCTAAAACGAGACTAGGTGAGCTCCTGCAGAGTGCTGGAGATGATGGATATTTTGCTAAAAATAATAGTGAGAACCCATAAAGAAACTTCTCCAACTGTAAAACATACACCCAATATGATGAGAGGATGAATGCCATTTGATCTCTTAATATACTTTGACCTCAATATAATGAGAGGAAAAGTAAATGTAATTTGATGATGCTTATGCCTTTTTAAGTTTGACGCCATCACTTCCCTGGAGTGACCATGTTAGACTGATAGGAAGGAGTGACATTGCGTTCAACTTTGCAATTTAAAATGATAACAAGTTAAAAACAACTAATCTATCAATTACCTCAATGATGCATAACTTATGGTTTCAAGGCAGAATATAGGTTGGTTAATGAACCTATGCACCTTGATAGAAAAGGCATGCTTTCTATGAATAAATGTTGTTCACCAATCGAGTCATTTATTATAGTACCCTCATGGCGCCTAAAGCATCCTATGTGGTTGTAATTGCTTTGCTTCTTTGCTGTGCATATTAGTACAAAATCAGTCATTGCAACTTTGGGAGAGTTGATGAAGCTACTTTGCAAACGTGTTGCCTATGGTCATGAAGTCATGGAGAAAGTGCAGTTGCGGTATACTATTTTTCATGCATTTCTGGGAAAAATATAATATGCCTGATTTTTAAAAAGTGAAGGGTAGTTAAAATTTATTGCCAAATGTGTGGGCCTTTTAGTTGGTCCTTCATTGAACTTTTGTGCGGTCCCCCTCCCACCAAAAAAAAAATCAACTTCATAAGTCCCATATAAAATTACGAGTTAGATCATTGCAGACCTTGATCCTTAATTACCTCTTTGATATTGGCGGGTTAATGGTTCATCCTGTGCAAGGTCAAGGTATCAAAATTTGCCGCCTTTTCCTACTGGTAGATTCCTTTTGTTTCAATATGGTTTAAGTTTGGAGATGTTTTTGCATCTTCTGTCTTATAAACTTGATATGGCACTTTTAAATTATACTAGATTTCATTTATCCTCCGTTTTGAATCCAACTTTAAGTCTTGATGTCAATCTATTGAAAGCACTGAGCCACTGATCGTAGATTCAGTGTGCAGAGTAATTTTATACTTCGAGTCAAGTGTTAATTCCATAACTAGTTAACACATTTGACTCAGCATAAAAGACTAAGGGAAGTTATAATGTTATATATCATATATCCTATACAGTTGTTATCACGTACAGTTGGTGAAGATGTGTTTTAGACTTTTAGTTGTGATTTGTTCTTTGGTACAAGATAAAGTTATACCGATGCATGAGATACTCTACAAATGTGTTTCCCATGGCTTAAGCCAAGTTGGAGATGCCTGCGCAGTCATGTATTATAGTGCTTTCTATCATATTTTTCCACTCAAATCAAAATTATTATATTCAGGATTATACTGCAGATTAATATCCCAATTATTTGTATATTACCAATTTAATTCTAGAATATCATATTTCTCTAATTTTGTTTTATCCAAAATGGTCCTCCAAGATTAAGTTAGGATAATTTTTATATAGTTGGGGATTGGGATCAATTTGTATTAAAATTTCTATGATGGATAGCTTTTTTTTTTCAAATTTTTACAGTTGGGGGATTAAATTAGACAAATGTGATATTATGAGACTAAATTGACCACACATGAATAATTGTGAGGGATTATTTTGAGATTATAATTATTATATTTTAGGTTTAAAAATATTAATTATTAGATTAGGTGTTTGCATTATTTAATTAGTGATGCGGTGCTCGTTAAGCAAGAAAAGGTGGCGGAGTAGCACACCACGCCAGTTCATTTTCTGTTGTCTAGAACGTTCCCACTACCACTTTTTATTCTTGTTTGCCATTCCCGGCTCTGCCTATTTTCCCAGTAGCTGTTAGTGCTTTTTGCTTTTTAGTCCTTTACTTTTTAGGAGAGTAGTTTATCTTCTTCCCCTGGCTGGAGGAAAGTTCAATTGTTAGAAAATATATTTTGAAACTTGTTCTCCCAACAGTAACTGAGTTACTGTTTTATCAATATACTGCTTTGTTTTGCTCATCTTGCAAGAACCTACATCAGTATTGGTATCAGAGCTAGATGGCGGAAAGCAGTAGGCGGGTGGCTCCCGGGAATGACAACAGCCTTGAAGCACCGTGGAACGAGCACCGAGAGTTGTCGCGACAGATGGATCGAGTCGAGGTGGAGGTGCACCGTATCTACGGTGAAATGCGGCAGGACTTGCGAGAGATCAACATGAAGTTGGATCGACTGCAACCAGTTCGTACAGCGTTCACGCCAGCAATGGGTTACAGAGGAGTCACTGAAAATGAGCGACCAATGCCCCGAGGTTCGTAGGTATTGGAAGCGTCCGATTCCGAAGAAGATGTGGGACGACTCAGGAATTTGGACATCACCGATTCAGAGGAAGAGTTGGGCCACCGACGGCCGCGAACTATGGACAGAACGCACGGTGAGTTTAAAGTTAAACTAGATATCCCTTATTTCGATGGCAGGTTGCATATAGAAGACTTTTTGGATTGGGAAAGAACTGTCGAAACCTTCTTTGAGTACATGGATATCGATCCAGAAAGGCAAGTGAAATACGTGGCGTGCCGGTTAAAAGGGGGAGCTGGCGCATGGTAGCAACAGCTGATGCAGTCTAGGCGTCGGGAGGGACGCGGGCCAGTGAGGAGTTGGCACAGGATGAAACAAATGTTGCGTGGTCAGTATCTGCCAACTGACTTTGAGCAAATGTTGTATGTTCAATATCAACATTGTGTTCAAGGTAACAGATCCGTGAATGAGTACACTGAAGAGTTCTATCGATTAAGCGCCCGCAACAATTTGAATGAGAATGCCAACCAACTTGTTGCCAGATTTATTGGTGGGTTGAAAGAGGCGATCCAGGATAAGTTGGTGTTAAATGAAGTGTGGTCCTTATCACAAGCCGTTAATTATGCTTTGAAGATAGAAATGCAGCTGCAGAGGCCGAACAGAGGTGGACATTTGAGGCGACCACCAGAAAATGTAACAGAGAGTAGTAGGCCAACAAGTGCTGTTACACCTCAAGGTGTCAAACAGCAAGGTTTAACAGCAGGGAATGTTGTATCGGCTGGAGCAGGAAATCAAAATACTGGGCCTAAGGTGTGGCCGCGGGGGCGCGTAGCAGCAAAAGATAATCCTTATGTAAAACCAGGAAACATCAAATGCTTTAGATGTTTTCAACAGGGTCACAAGTCGAATGAGTGTCCGACTAGACCCCAGCTGCAATTGGTTGACGCGGAAGCAGACGATGAATTGGCTGACAATGCTGAGGACTGTGAAGAATCCATGAAGATTTAGTTGGGGATGAGGGAGACAGCTAGTTTGTGTTATAGAGAAGTTGTTGCTGCCCCAAAAGTACCCAATCCGTCACAAAGGCATGCTTTGTTCAAGACTAAGTGCACTGTGGCTGGGAAGGTGTGTGACATGTTGGTTGATAGCAGATGCACCGAGAATGTAGTGTCTCGTGCAATGGTGCAGGCGTTGCAATTGAAGACCACCAAAAATCCTAACCCATACAAAATCAGCTGGGTTAAGAAAGGCATGGAGATGATGGTGACAGACTTGTGCCAGGTTTCATTCTCAATTGGAAAAAGTTATTCGAGCGAAGTCTTGTGCGATGTTTTAGACATGGATATGTGCCACATCATTTTGGGTCGTCCGTGGCAGTTCGACGTGGGAGCTGTATATGACTGCCGAGCCAATACGTATGCCTTTGATTGGAATGGAAAACGGATTAGATTGCTGCCAGGAAATTCGGGGGCGGAGACTCAACGCGCAAAGGGAAAAACTGCTCTGTTTTCAGATTCAGCAGCAGCTATGATTAATGCTTGGCGTGAAACCTCAAGTATACTTGCAGTAATTGTGAAAGAAGTCGCTCAATCCATGCCGCAGAGTCACTGACCAGTGGAATTAACATAATTATTAACGCAGTTTGCGGATGTGTGTTCTGAGAAGCAGCCTCACGAATTACCGCCAATGCGATCTATTCAGCATCAAATAGAGTTCACGCCAGGAGCCTCACTGCCCAATTTGCCGCATTACAAGCTCAGTCCAGCTGAAAATAAGTTGCTGCAGGAAATTGTTGATGAACTGTTGGACAAACAGTTGATTCAACATAGTTTAAGTTCGTGCGCAGTGCCCGTGTTGTTGGTGCCCAAAAAAGATGAGAACTGGAGAATGTGTATGGACAGTAGAGCCATCAATAAAATTACAGTCAAGTTCCGTTTCCCTATGCCACGATTTGAAGAAATGTTGGAACGCTTGGCCGGTTCAACTGTGTTCTCTAAACTTGATCTGCGGAGTGGGTATCACCAGATCAGAATCAGACCGGGCGATGAATGGAAGACTGCCTTTAAAACACGCGAGGGCCTGTATGAATGGAAGGTAATGCCTTTCGGGCTGTGTAATGCACCTGCTACCTTCATGAGGTTGATGAATGATGTATTAAAGCCATTTTTGAATCGGTGTTGTGTGGCCTACTTCGACGACATACTAGTTTTCAGCGGCAGTTTTGAAGAGCACTTGAAACACTTGAAGGACATCTTCGGAACGTTGAGGCAACATAAATTGTATTTAAATTATGCCAAGTGTGAATTTGCCACTCAAATGGTGTCATTTTTGGGATTTAGAATTTCAGCAGATGGGGTTAGTGCTGATCCATGCAAAATCCAGGCTGTACGTGACTGGCCAAAACCGACTACATTCACTAAAGTGCGGAGCTTCCATGGCTTGGCAAATTTTTAAAGAAGGTTCATTAAAGGTTTTAGCATATTAATGGCACCCGTAACTGAGTTGTTGAAGCAGAATTCATTCGCTTGGGGAGAAGAGCAGGAGAAAAGCTTCTCAGCCATTAAAGAGGCATTAACACGAATTTTTATTTTATCCAGTGAACGTACGCTCCTCTACGTTCGGATCTAAGCAAAAAAAGCGCAATACCGAGTACCGAGTACCGAGTTGTACCGAGTTTTTTAAAAAAACTCGGTATTGCGCTGTTTTGGTCTAAAACCGAACGTAGAGGAGCATACATTCACTGTATGTAATAAAAGTTCCATTAACACAGGCACCAGTGCTCGCATTACCGAACTTTGAAAAACCATTCGCTGTGGAGACGGATGCTTCAGCCATTGGTATAGGTGCTGTGTTGTCACAGGAGAATAGGCCCATTGAATTTTTTAGTGAGAAGCTCAGCGCTCCGAGGCAGCGGTTGACGGTGTATGAGCAAGAATTGTACGCGGTGGTCCGGGCTTTAAAACAATGGGAACACTACTTACTGCATCAAGATTTTGTTTTGCATAGTGATCACAAGGCTCTTAAGTACATAAATACGCAAAAGAACATCAGTCAAATGCACGCTCGATGGGTCTTATTCTTACAGAAACTCACTTTTGTGTTAACACATAAAAGTGGAAAACAAAACCGGGTAGCTGATGCTCTAAGTCGCCGGGCAGCTTTGATTACTCAATTGCAAACTGAGTACGTGGGTCTAGAAAGCTTACAGGAATTATATCCGAATGATGAAGATTTCAGTGAAGTTTGGCACAAATGCAGTAATCATGAACCTGCTGATGAATTCTCTATCAGGCACGGGTTCCTCTTCAAAGGGAATATGTTATGCATTCCGCAATCGTCTTGGCGACAGCAAATTATAAAGGAGATGCACGGCGGAAGCTTGGCTGCCCATATGGGTAGAGATAAGACCATCTCTCAGGTGCAAACCCGATTCTTTTGGCCTCATTTGAGAAGGGATGTAACCAGGTATGTAGAAAGATGCTCTATCTGTCAGAATTACAAAGGCGGTGGTCAAAATACAAGGCTTTATCTTCCGTTGCCGGTGCCGGAGACGATATGGGAAGACTTAAGCCTTGATTTTGTACTCGGGTTGCCGCGCTCTCGACGCGGTAACGACTCGATCATGGTTGTAGTGGATCGCTTCTCCAAGATGGCGCATTTTGTAGCTTGCAAAAAAACGTTCGATGCTATGAATGTGGCGAAGCTGTTTTTCCGTGAGATAGTCAGGCTACATGGGATCCCGAGGTCTTTAACATCCGATCGAGATGTTAAGTTCATAAGCCATTTTTGGCGGGATCTATGGAAGCGATTGAACACACAAATTCAACTTAGTTCGTCGTATCATCCTCAGACGGACGGACAAACGGAGGTGGTCAATCGTACGTTGGGCAATCTGCTTTAATGCTTGGTGCAGGACAACCCGAAGCTTTGGGACGAGGTGTTGGGGCAGGCCGAATTTGCATTCAATTCAATGCCGAACCGATCGACGGGTAGGTGTCCTTTCAGAATTGTTTATACTAAATTGCCAAACACCATTGTCGATATTGCAGTACTACCGAAGTGTGCGAACAAGGCAGCATTCAACTTGGCGGAGCAATTCTCAGATATGCTGTCCAAAGTCCGGCTTCAACTTCAGCAATCTAACGACAAGTACAAGGAGCAAGCGGATCAGCACAGACGGGAGAGGACGTATCAGCCTGGAGACTTGGTCCTCGTACGCATTCGCCGGGAACATTTCCCTAGCGGAGCCTACTCCAAACTTAGTAGACGGAAGTTTGGGCCATTCGCAGTTCGTCATAAGATCAACGACAATGCTTACGTTATTGATCTACCCGCTGAATTCAACACGTCACATACGTTCAATGTAGCAGATATCTTCACTTACACTCCGCCAGATTCTACAAGTAATGTTGTTGCAGTTACTGGCAACAACATTTTTGTACCAGGGGTGAATGATGCGGTGCTCGTTAAGCAAGGAAAGGTGGCGGAGTAGCACACCACACCAGTTCGTTTTCTGTTGGCTAGAACGTTCCCACTACCACTTTTTATTCTTGTTTGCCATTCCCGGCTTTGCCTATTTTCCCAGTAGCTGTTAGTGCTTTTTAGTCCTTTACTTTTTAGGAGAGAGTAGTTTATCTTCTTCCCCTGGCTAGAGGAAAGTTCAGTTGTTAGAAAATATATTTTGAAACTTGTTCTCCCAACAGTAACTGAGTTACTGTTTTATCAATATACTGCTTTGTTTTGCTCATCTTGCAAGAACTTACATCAATTAGTTTTGTCAAAATTCAAGGGTGCATTATTACTTTTGATTAGGTTTTTGTTAACACATTTATCTTAGCAAATGTTTAACTAGTGTACTAAGTTCCTATATTTTCTCATACAGTTTGGGGCAATCGCAACACTATTTAGGCAAACAAATGTGGTATGGGTGGCGTTTGTTGCTGCCAGTGCAGCTATAAGCTATGTAGAAGACTTATGCGAGAAGGATCATGTTAATTTGATGTATAAGAAATTGAAGATTGAGAGAAAAGACGTTATATTTAACAAAAATAGCAGCGCGGTTCCAACTTTAAGAAAGCGGAGGATGGGCGCTTCAACGAATTCCAGTCAATTGACTAACTCCAAAGTGATTCGTTTCCTTCCACTTTATGATTCAGGTTTTTCTCTTTCATCCAAATACGACATGCTACATTTAAATCGTAGTTGTTCTCCTGAGCACTTCTTGATCTCACGTTTCTCGTGTAATATAACTTAATAATGAATCTATTGGCCTTTCAGGGCCTTTAGAATGATGGTAATAAGCTTTGAAGGAAGTGTTGATGGGTTTGTAATACAAATCTTTTGGTGCTGCAGAAAAAAAAATTGTTCCCGAAGTAGAATCTAGTAGTTGATATTTATTATATTCTTGTGGATGACAGTAACTTTTTGTATGCATAAAACAAATGCTAGGTCTCATATATCAGCTGTGGCATCCCAACAGTGGAAGTCTCCACTTTAGACTGTCCCACTTAAGAGATATTGCAGTGATATATATTAGGAGAAAAGGCTTGTTAATGGTGAAGTACAGCCTCAGGAGTTCATTCAAACAATGCTTTAGTAATAAGAGGTAGTGTTAACTTTCTTTAGAGCAGCAGTAACAACAACAATAATAATAATATTAAATTTTTATCCCACTATGTGTGGTCAACTACATCAATCTTTTTTCTCCATTGTGTCATGTTAAGAGTCAAATTCTCATTTAAATCTTATAAAGAAATGTCATTTCTATTATTTTCTAACCAAGTCTTTTTAGATCTACCTCTACCTTTCTTAACATAAGCCAAATCTAATACATCTACTTTACTAATTGGGTTATTGGAAGGCCGCCATTTTATGTGACCAAACCATATAAGACGACTCTCTCTAATCTTATCTTCCACTGGAGCTACTCCAACCTTTTCATGTATATGCTCATGTCGTATCCTGTTAACTTTCTCTAGAGCACCAAGAAAAATTTATACTCCAATATCCATTCCACATTGGCATATATAGGGAAAACAAATTAGGGAAACAGTAGGAGTATTGCTTATTATACCCCTCAAGATTCATTCGGAATGTGTTAAATTATAGCTAAAAAGGGTCTTGATGTACTCACATTCCTTACAAGCAGCAGACCCTTTTGTGACGTTGCATGCAAATGATTCTTTTGTTTATCACAAAAACAGGAGTACATTAGTTGTCATCCCATAGGGCCTTGATTGATGAGAAGTGAATTTAGATACCCTCTAAGCTATGAGAATTATTTTGGACAGAAACTATTAGAAGTCAAGTTTTAACAATATATCAACGTGATCATCTTTTTGGAAGATAATATCGTCCAAAATGAGATGAGTGGCCTAGGTTATTGACCATAATTAAGCCATAAGTGAGTGTAGTAAAGGAAGCGGAATGAAACTTGCATAATAAGCAATTTGTCTGTATGGGAAGCTGCTCCTTTGAATATAAAGCACAATATGATCGACCAACTTCACAAGCACACTTTTATAAAGCTCAGTGAAATCATCAATGACCATTAATGACAATTTCTTTAAGATGATTTTCATAATTTGAAAATTTATAAGAGTCTTTGCCTCTTGTCTAGAGATCTTCAAACGGAAGATGGAAATAGTTGTCTCATAGCTGAAGTTATCATTCACTTACAACTCATTAACTACTCAATGACATGCTAGAACATTCGCAATAGCTTGCTGATAGTAGTAGTTTTGAAATCTATGGCCTTAGTTGTAATTTTGAGTATGCCAAACTTAAAATAAGCTGTATATTGAATACCAACATTTGGTTTGACTGTCAGACTAACCTGATGTTGTTATTTGTTTAGTCGAATCTAAGGAATCATTAATTTTTAGATGTTTTAAAATCATTAAATAAATTTATTTTTCCTTAACAAGAGCATGTTCAGACAACTTTGAAGAAAACAGGTAGTTTTCATTTCAGGAAATAACAGTTATTATTAGCCAGTGCTGAATATTTAGATTAACAATTGAGAAATTTTTAACTTTAGGTCCTTTTAAGTTTAATCCAACCTTTAAATACAAGGAGTGATGGAATTTGTTATCAACCCATAAGTTTTCAGGTTTTTCTAGGGTCTTCTCTAGGTAGAATGTGAATGATTAAGTTTTGATATACAAGAAATAGAGGAGGATTGAGTAAGGGTGTCAAATTTTGTTAACGGAGGATATGCTTTGGTTCTACTTGAAAGGAGACAAATCTAAATGGGTTGAAAATTTTAATTGTAATTAGATTCAATGAAGCTCAAACTCAGCACAACCCAACATAATTAGTAGTTCAGTCGTATTGGATTGATTTTAAGCTAATGTGAGATGGACATGATAACTAGATTTGTACTCATCAATTCCAAAAAATAAGAAAAAAATGTTGTTGGATTTGAAATTTTATTGGAAGCAAGAAAATTTTACTCATTAAATGGGCCTAAGTTGAAGTTTTTGGATCGAATCAAATATAAATCAAGTATTTTTGGATATCTTAAGTATTAACATTAACTCAAGCCAAAACCTCATATGATTTGACCTGAAACAAAAAAAAAAGTATTATGAGTTAGGTTAGCATGTCGAGTCAAACTTAACATCCCTTTGAAATAGTTCAAAATGCTTTGAAACAAGTGGAAAAGCCAAACTAAAATGAGAAGAAGCTAGCCACCTTCTCCTTCCCAAATTTTCAACTCTATTTTCCTCTCTAGACTCACCAACCACCCTTTGTCACATTGGACTTTAAATTCATTTTAGAACTGTGCTATAGCGTGGGGCTTTCATAGCATCGTTAAAGCGGCTCTTTCTTTCTTATTGAGCACGCTCACAATCTGGCTAGTTCAGCTTGTTGGTTTCTCAAAAAAATTGTTTTTCTTCTCTCATTCCTTCTTGGGCCTGAATTTGTGCATCTATGTTCTTTTCCAACCCCGCATTTCATGTATGGAATGAGAAAGCGGGGTATGGGGATCCTGGATAAGGTCTTTTGTGAGAAATTCAATTTTTGTTTCTCCAATGAGGTGGTTGGTTTTGCTTATTCCAGAATTCCAAAGGCTGATCAAATTGACCAGTATTGCAAAGTCTTATAGGAGTGTGTATCAGATCCTTAACGTTTACCTCCAGCGAAATCGATATTGAGGGATAAGCGCATGGTTGAGCAGCGCCAGAGTGCAATCAGTTTAACTTACAATTATAAACACCTTAATGCTACTTTATTGAGATTTTGTTGTTAATGTTGTTTTGTCATTTCATGACATTGTTTTGCAGGTTTGATTAATGAAATCGTTGAGCTAGCCTTAAAGTTATGGCGTTTAAAGTGGAAGGTTTTGGTTACCTTCTTCCCTTATCTTCTAGTTTTGCTGGTGTTTGGAGCTCTTATTGTCCTCAACGGAGGCATTGTCCTTGGTACTAAGACTGCTTTCTTGACCACATATCCTTTAATTTTTAAACTTGTAATGATCATGCTTGACATTCTGGGTGCTTAAAATATGGCTGAAAATAATCTTTGGCCTTGCAGGTGCAAAAGAAGCCCATGTGGTTTCACCTCATTTTCCCCAGTTTATGTACTTTGGTCTAGCTGCGGCTGCGGCGTTAGCTCCTGCGCATTTCACATTAGGACAGGCTTCAACTTTATGGCAAGCAGTAAGGAGAAACAAGATTGGCAATTTTATCAACTTATTGGCTTCTCTTGTTTTGTGCATGATTTTTGTGCATTTTTTCAGGTCAGATATCTCCATTCACTCTAAAAAAAAGAATTATTGTGATTGCTCAATGTAGAAATATAAAAAAAAAAATATTTTGAATTTTATTGCTTAATTTTGCACAATGTGTGAAAGTATACAACAACAACAAGCCTTTATCCCACTATGTGGGGTCGGCTACATGAGTCCTTTTTCTCCATTGTTTCCTGTTAAGAATCAAATTCTCATCTAAATCTAATAAAGAAATGTCATTTCTAATATTTTCTAACCAAGTCTTTTTATGTATACCTCTACCTCTACCTTTCTTTTTAGGTCTACCTCTAACCATGTTATCGGAAGACTATCGTTTTATGTGACCAAACCATCTAGCAACTGTCTCTAATCTTATCTTCCATTGGAGCTATTCCAATCTTTTCACGTATATGCTTATTTCATATCCCGTCTCTAAGAGTAAAGCCGCTCATCCATCTGAGCATCCTCATCTCTACAACACTTAACATAATATTATGCTTCTCTTAAAGTGTGAAAGTATATATAGATTTATTCAAAAAACTTATTCTAGAAAGAAATTAAAGCTAATTATGACAAAGGAAAAAAAAATCCTAGGAGGGGCTGATGGCTAGAAGAGGAAGTTGAGGCATGCGGATTGCAATTTGAATCTTATAAGAGGGATTGATTCAACAGTTAGAATCATTAATTTGTGTGCACAAAAATTCGTTTTAAAATTGGTTGACTTGTGGATACAACGATCTTTCAACACTCTCCCTCAAATTGAATGGTAGAAATATGTCATTCTAAGTTTGCATGCAATAGTTTTAAACATGGGGTTATAGCGTCCTTCAATGAGAATGTTGGCAAGTTGATTTCTTATTGACACATGGCGTACAAATCAACTCGCTTTATAGTTTGTCTTTTATGAAATATATATCCACCTCCATATCCTTGGTAAGTTCATGTTGTACTAGATTATGAACAATATTGATTGCAGATTTATTGTTATAGTATATTTTCATTGGTCCTTTTATTTGATTTTTAAATCTTCCATGATAATTTTGATCCATAGATGCTTGATGATTCCTTGGGCAGTGGCTCTTTAGATTCAAAACTAGATCTTGAAACTTGTTTTTTGCTCATCCATATTATGAGAATTTTTTCTAAAAATATACAATATCTAGTTATGGTTCTTCTATCCACCATTGATCATGCAGTCTGTATCCATATACCTTTCAATTTGTTAAATATCCTGCCTTTTATGTAAAATTCTTTAGTCTGTACTTGATTTAAGATTTTTAAAGATTCTATAAGTAGCTTGAAAATGAGTTTTTCTAAGTTTGTGCATGAATTGATTGATGAGACATTGAGACTTTGAATATGATGTCAAGAAAGTTTTGAGATAGATAGAACGGTTTTTAAAATAATATTTGACGTTGTCCCACATCTATTTCTTTTCCTTCTTCAACTACTTTCAATTTTTGATCTGATTCAGTTAGGGTTTTATAAGATTTACAATTAGTCACTTTTGTTTATTTCAATAGATCTATGATACTTTTTTGTTTATAGAGGAATATTCCTTGTTATAATTGAGCATTTTTTATGCCTAAGAAGTATTTGAATTTGCTTAACTCCATGATCTTAAAATTTTCATCATGCTTTTTCTTAATAGACTTTTTTCTCTACTGTCAGCACCCTCAACAATTATATCGTCAATATATATAATGATAATTTAGATTTTAGTATTTTACCATTATTAGAATATTTTTTGAGGGTATGATGCCTTTGCTTTATTTGTATCTAGCTTTATTCATAATTTTTTGAGAGTCTACTTAAGTGTGCTCTTGGAGATGGTTTAAGGCTATATGGTATTTTTTAATTTGCTGACTATCAAATTTAGGTGGTAGATGCATATTGACTTTTTCTTTAACATTCCCATATAAAAAAGTATTCTTTACATTATACTACTATATGGACCATCCATGATTGGCTGAAAAATAAATTAAGATGCGTATTGTAGGGGTGTCAATATTTGATCTGATCCGAAAATGTCAGGTCCATGTCAACCAGTTTGGAGAATTCGGGCCGGGCCGGGTTAACCCGAAAATCCTATATCAACTCGAGTCTGGATTCTGATCGTGCTCCGCCTTCACTCGCCTCATGTGTCGCAAATCGTGATCCCCCGTTGTTCGCACGTCGCGTTGGCACCCATCGCGCTCGCACTCGTTGAACACACAGACGCACACGCTCGTGACTTGCCTCGCATGCTTGCACCGTCGCACCAGCTCACAGATCGCCTAGCGCTCAAGGATTGCCTCACACTCGCACTCATGGACTGCCTTGCGCTTGCCTCACTTAGGCCCGTGTGTCGTGTCGGGTTGACCCGGATTTGGGGTGGGTCAGGTTCGGGTTTCTGTCCAGTTTGTGTATTCGGGTCGGGTTTGGGTTGGAGCAATTGAGAGTGGGCTAGTTTTGGGTTGGAACCGAACTCGACCCATAAACCGATTTCGGCACCCCGATTGTATTATATTCATTTTTGTAGATGGAGTAAAATTGTTTTGGTAGTTGATTCCATAGGATTGAATATATCCTTTGACTACCAATCTCACTTTACTATTCCAGGCTTCCAACTACTCTATATTTAATAAAAATATCTCATTTGTATTTTATATTTTTCTTCCCTTTTGGTAGTTCATTGATCTCCTAAATGTACTTTTTTTTTTTCTAGAGCATTTATTTCTTTTCTTATGTTTAATTCTTATTTTCAAGTGCCTCAAATAAGGTTTATGATATTGTAATGAAATTGGATATTACGTTTGTAAGAAAGGCTTTATGGATATGACAATTTTTTTAAAGATGTGTATTGGGAGTTGGGATATAGAAGATAATGCGATATTATGGGTTAATCATTGTTACTTGTTAATGATTCTGAGTTTTGCGCTTCTTGGAGATTTTGGTTTTGCTTATTACTTCTTTTATAGACTTGAAAGGGTATATTATCTGGATTTATTGGAGTTTATGTTGTTAGAATGTCAATTGAATGATAGATGTTTCATCAAAATTTTCTTTCAGTTGAGAGTTCTCTCGCTTGAAGATGTTTTTGATTGAAAAGCTTTGTTTCTTATCAAAAATGATATTTTCTTGAAGTAAAGAATTTTTTGGTGGCAAGATGATATTGCTTGTATCCTTTTTGAGTGGAAAAATACCTAATAATGACACATTTAAGGGTTTTAAGATAAAATTTATATAGATGTAGGTAATGTACTTAAAGATTTTTGGTGGAATATTTGAGAGGAAATTATTTTTTGGAAGAATTCAACAAGAAAGTTTAGATGAATTTTGACGCTAATCACACTTGAGGGTATTCTACTTATTAGGTATGTGATAGTTAGGATTATTTTTTCTCAATATTTTTTAGGGACTTGAGTATAAAAGAGAACAATCCTAATGACTTATAGGAGTTGACAATTTTTCTTTCCGTCACCTCATTTTGTTGGAGATTATCATGACAGGAGGGTTGGTGGATGATATGTTCTTTCTGAAAAAAAAATGATAATGCATAATTAAAGTCACTTGCATCATCAGTCGAAGTTATAATTGTATTATTTTTGTATTATGACATTATAAATGAGAAGAATGATGCTGGCATTCAATTTTTTTTAATAAGATATACCTATATTTTGAGAGTATAATCATCTTTGAATGTGACAAATCCTTCCTCCAGTAATATTAGGGATTTTTTAAGACACCAAAATGTTATAGTGAACAATTAGAATAAAAATCTATTTAGAATCACTTTCAAGAAAAAAATAATACAATGTTTAACAATACTAGAAGTTTCACAATGAAAATTTTTCATATTTTTATTTATAAAAAGAGAAAAAGCATATATTGCAGTATTTTGAAAGAGGATGCCTTAGCCTACAATGACATTTCTATATGATTTTTGTATTGAGTATGGAAATGAAAGAATATGACATGATTTCCGACTTCAAGAAGATATAGCTCATCTTTGTGTCTAGTTTGCCCTATTATATTTTGATAGGTAGTACTTGCAGAAATTTGGAATTTCTATAAAGATGAAATAGAAATCAAGATAAATTTGGTGGAAAAATACTAGGAAATTTTGATAATTGATGAAAGAGGGAAGAAAACAAATAAGATACAATGGATCTTCAATTCGAGAGGAAGATCTGGCTCTCCTATTCCCTAATCGGTGGCTACAGCCCAAACAAACCCTAAGAGAAATACAAATTTAGTCAAACATAACATAACCCTAACCCTAGGATGAAATTAACTATTAAAAGCGAACAATACAATGTAAAAAGTCCAAACAACCCCTCCAATTCAATTTTCCCACTCAGCTGCCCCTTTCTTTCTCTCTCTCTTCCTTAATGCGTGGACCCCACCCAAGGGGCGAGCTAGACCTAAGCGGAACCAGGCGTTCTCCTAGTATATACTTTGAGGGATCGGCCAGATCGGACCCTCCTAGGCCGGTCTAACAATACCCCCTTCCAAAAAACTAACATTGTACTCATGGTGGAAGGATGAAAATTGATGTTTTATCTGCTCATACGGCTCCCAAGTCGCATCATACACAGGTAGGTTGTTCGACTTAATTAGCACTTCCTTACATTCTCCCGCTCCCTGCCATGCTCCTACTAACTCCGGTGTTTTCTAAACTACCTCCAAATCCTTCTTCAACGTCACTGATTTCTCCACACTTGATTTGTGATCCCCTATAGCTTTCCTCAACTGTGACACTAGAATACCGGGTGTATGGTCGCGGTCAGAGGTAGCCTCAATCGATACGCCGCTGCTCTGATCCTCTCTACTATCTCATAAGGGTCAAAGTATCTTGGAGCTAGCTTCTCATTTCTCCTATTAGCCACTGTCCTCTGCCTTTAGGGACGAAGCTTCAAATACACTCTATCCCCTACCTCAAACTGAATGTCCTTCATGTGCTTATCTGCCTGCCTTTTCATAATCCGTTGGGCCTTTAATTGATATCTTTTCAATTCCTCCAGTAT